ATCATTGTTAGAAATAATAATGATGATGATGATGATTAAATAATGATCTTTTGTAAATAACAATTCCTTTCTAAGGTATCGAATAGCATGCCCTTATACCATATTTATACTTCTTATACTATAATCAATTCTTTTATGCATGATTTTGACTATGATTTGTTTGTTTCTTTCTTATTTTCAGAGTTTTTCAGAATCAGCAGTTTAACCTTATTATTTATTTTAGTTTTTTTTATCAATGTCGGAGCATTTATTAAAGTAGATTATTCAGTACATTGATTGTTCGAGCATATTATTATCCTTTCGGAATTACTCTTCTCGATAATTCTTGTATAATTGTAGATTATAAATTATAAACAGAATTATTGATAGAATAATTGATAGAATAATTGATAGAATAGAAATAATAGAAATAGGACTATTGATAGAAATAGAATGGAAATATAATAATAGAATAGTCGAGATAAAAAAAAAATACATCAAATAAAAACAAAGAAAAAGTAAATCTGCCTACAATAATAATAAGTTTTTTTTTCATTCATCTTTCTTCTTTAGGAAGTTTTAGGAAGTCTACAAAGGTAATGTTTCGCTTTGTTTTTTATTTGCAACGCGATTATTATTTATAAATAAAAAAAAATAAAATAAAAAATTATAATAGAACTTAATTTATTCTAAGTAAACCATTCATACTAATTAATGGAGTGTAACTATCATGAATCAAAAAAGTTACACGCACGTACAATAATTAAAGAACTCTTTGAGTAATTCGACATGAGAAAACATGGGAAAAAAAAAATAATGGTCAAATTTCTTTGTAATGATGATTATGATAATCAATAAATCAAGTTCAGATTAGATCGGATAAAGATAATGGATAAATCACATGATTTAATGGTAAAAAATTTTCTGGACTTTAATTCTGGTCAAAACTAAAAATGGTTAGATAATTCCTTGAACGATTATTCGCGTTCTCCATTTTGTTTTCCATTTTGTTCACCATTTTGTTCGACCATTTTGTTCACCATTTTACATAATTAATCACATTAATGGTAATAATATTAATAATATCAATAATATTAATGGAATAAATCTAATAATATCAATAATATCAAAAATGTAATAAAGATAATAAAAGAAATATTAATTAAATTAATTAAAATTAATTAATTTGGAAGAACGCGTTATAATTATTTACGTAACACCCTTTTATCACTATTCAATTTTATTATTCATTTAATATCACATATTTAGTTAAATGATTCTATGAATAAAATTAGATCCGATTAAAATAATTAAAATAGAAGAGGAAAGTGATTATCTCGTTTATCAATTATCAAAAAAAGTTTAGAACATAATGTATTAAATATATTTTATTAAATATAGTACAATTAATAATCATCATCATCGCATATATTATTATATTTGTATTCTATTCTATTCCATTTTATTTTATTTATTATTTATTATTATCTTAAAATAAATAAAGTTCTTTCATTAAATATAACCACAATCATTTCTAGTAATTCGCGCGTAAAAATAAATGCTTTAAATAAGAAATTTATCCGAAAGTAAAGTTACACTTGCGGTCATCTCGCTCATTAATACTTGCATCTTTACCAATTAGAGTCATTAAATAAAAATTTTTATTGTAAAAAATCCAGTCAAGAAACTTGATTAAATGCATATACATCATGAATTCGATACAACATACTACACACACACGACGCACATAATGCATACGCATAGACAAATTGCACACGCGCGCGACGCCTCATTGAAAGTCGCGCAAATTTATCAATAATAATTATTTATTATTTTTATCATTTTTATTATTTTTATCATTTATTTTGATTATTTTGATTATTCATTTAAATTATTTATTGCTATTTTTTAATCACTTATTATTTTCTAATCACTTATCTCTTGTCGTTATTTATTATTCTATTTATTTATTCTTATTTTTGTTATTGTTATTATTATTATTTTTTTTGTTACTACTTTTTTTTTCTAATACAATCAAAAAATTCGGACAATACAAGAAATTCGAATCACAGGCTTTTATGGCGAAAAAAAAAAAAAAATAATAAATATTTTTGTAATGTACAGAACGTATTATTCTTTATTAAGATTTCTTCAAATGATAAGGGAAAAAAACTGCAAACTTGTTTGTTTCTTTACATCAAGTGACATTCAATGTTCAGGTGATACTGTCAATAATTGTATTATTTTCATTCATCCATTGACTTATCAATTCATTGGTTCTTTTGAACACAGACTATCACATTATCACTTATCTTTTTTTTTAAAAAAAAAAAAAAAAAATTTTAAATTTTAAAACTTGTTAATATTTTTTTGGTGAAATTAATATCGATAACTTTTTACCTTTGTCATCTTTATTATCTAAACTTTTTTATAATATAAACTTTTTTATAATATAAACTTTATTTAATTGACTCGTAATTTTTACCCCCCAGATTCACCATTCCTTATTCAAAAGATCAATTTCTCTTCTTTGATTTTTATTCAATTTACTCAATCGAAAAAATTTCTGAAGATTACGTAATTTTTAAAAAGTTTCACAAAGTAATATATGTCACAACTCAATTAATGATTAATCATATCTGATATACATTATATAAAAAGCATTAGTGATATTTTATTGTGATGGAACTTTAAACTTATATAAATAATTATTTATCCGCCTCCACAACTTTGTATAATAAAATGTATAAACTGAATAAATTGTTGTAAATGGCAACTCTACGAAAAACTTTAAAATCCACAAGTTATCGTGTTTATTGTGTGTAACAATAAACAATACGTATTTGTATTTCAATATTAACAATTTTAACCGCGCATTATTAATTAAAAAAATAATAATTTGATGGATAATTGAAAAGCCCGAACAGAAAGAAATTAACGAAAAGCAACATAAATAAAACATCTCATCATTTGTGATTAATATTATGTATTATGTAATATTATTCTTATTTCAAAAAAAAAAATGATCTTGTTTATTTATTTTTTATTTCTAATATTTTTTTGATTATGTACGTGTCAGGACAAAAAAAGTGTTCACTTTTGATTCAATTTCGTATATATTTATTGGTGTCATGGTCATAGGCGTTTTTTTCTTGTTTACTTGTTTTAATGATTTTTAATCATCATATTCCTTTACACTATATTACATTTATTGTACACACAAAGTTCAAAATTTGGAAATTTTATGCATTCATTTTTTTTTAATAAATTTCTTTTTTGTTCAAAAGTATTATGTGCATTTTTTTTAGTATTATAACACAAAATTTAAAGATTTGATTTTTTTTTTATATATATGTATAAATTGATTGGCTATTTAATATATCCTATTTGGTAAATAATGACTTTGTACCACAAATTGTTTTTAATGTATTATTATAGTATTTATATTTACAAGAATAATTCAATTTTATTATCTAAAATAAATTTTAAATTTAAATTATTTTTTTTTTTACTAGTTCTATTTTAATTAAAGATTTTTATTAATAAATTTATTAATAAATTTATTTAAAATTTATTAACTATATATATATTTATTTATTTATATTTAAAATTTTAAAGAGACTTTAAAAGATGGAATTTTTATCAATTAATAAATAGGTTACTAGTTGTAATTAATACTATAGAATAATGTAATAACTTCAGTTTTTATAGGTTTTTATTATTATTTAATTATTAAGTTGAAAAGTATTTTTAATATGAATTTTTGAAATCGATTATTCTATTTGTAAAAAATTGCCTATTTATTTTTTGCTTATTTCATAAATATATTCCTTCTTTATTTCACCTGTGATTAAATTACACAAGAAGATATGTAGTTTCTTGTGAGTCAAACCATGTCGAGTTTTGTTTTTTAAAGCTTTCTGAAATTTACAAGTATGATTATGAAATTACAGAAAAATCACATGACTTTGAAGCTAATTGTGAAATAAAGACATAAAAAATGAAATTGCCTTTTAAAATTTGAAAAAGTTAAGTAATAAATATCAATTAATGCTTAGAAATGCAAATTATTTTCCTTTATTGATTTTTTCAAACATGAGCAAATTACAATATTACTGCATTTTTCAAGACAAAGAAGAATCTGGATATAACATTGGTTTTTTCAGAATCTTGATAATGAAAAAACATATGCATTTTTTTTTTTGCTAAGGTATGAGTGTGCGCACCCTATATTATTATTATTAAACAATACAGTATATAAATATCCTATTTTTATATCCTAGTAAATTTCTTGGATTGACACATTTCTCAAAGAAAAAAAAAAATTTTCAAAATATGATGGCAAATAAAATAAAATAAAAAAAAAGTGTTATCCAAAAAAAAAAAAAAAAAACCAATGCAGGATATGTAGAATTGTATATATAATAGGATATCCAGAGTTTAAATATAAGAATAACCCATGATACAAAAAAAAAAAAATTTAGTAAAGGAATTAGTACTATATAATAATAAAATTAAATAGTTATTAAATAGGGAATGTAAGGGTTTCGCATCAAAAATGATAAACATTAATACAGAAAAAGAATGTAAATATTATATGATTATATAGGTTGTGTAAAAAAGTGTAAAAATTACAAATGAGGTGATACGTTAATTTTTTGGTAGATAAACAATCAGCCAAATGATTTAATCAAACAAAAAATAAATTATAGGGGAATTAGGGGAGGAAGGTGAAAATCCAAATTCTAAAAGAAAAGAAAAAAGGAAAGATGAAAACAATCTATTATTAAAAGATACAATAAATAAAAACCAAAAATAAATAAAAATAATAAATAATAAAAAATAATAATTAATTAATTAATTAAGATGATAGTTGAAATGAGATTTGAAAATGTTTATGTATGCACAAGTGATGATAATAACAACATGATAGCGGCGATCCAGTCCACCAGCCCTTTTTCCTAAAAAAAAATAATAAAAAAAATTCTAAATGTTCAAAATAATTTAGGATGGTCAAAAATCTACATAAAACCCTGTATGTGCGTAGATATATCACACATTGGTGTCGCTTCAAAAGGTGGAGACGGATAATATTTTTGTGGTATTTGTTGTATTGAAAATGAATCGCAAAATGGGCTCATATCGTTACCTACCCCCAAAAAAAAGAAATAAGACAAATATTAATTACTTTATTTTGAAATATAAAATGTTACCTAATCCTAACATAAATAAAATTATCTAAAATAAAGATATCTATAAATTCATACCATTTAACGGATCGTGATCAAACTGTAAATGTAACGAATTCGCATCTACTAAATGATCGATTGGCGACATATCCATTGTGAAACTGAAATCTGCATAACCGGAGTGATTGTTCAAATTAGGGTCTAGCAAGGGCTGATACATCAAATCTAAGAATGATAAAGAAAATATTAATAATAAAGAAAAGATATATTAATAATAATAAATATATCAATAATAAAAATGATTATCAATAATAAAGATGATATCAATAATAAAGGAAATAATAAAGATAATATTATATATATGAACGTACTATCATAAAAACATGTTGGGTTTTCGGTCTGTTGATTCGTTTGCTTGGTCGTTTGATTTGTCTCTATATTATTTTCTATCAACTCTGAAGATTCTATATCGTAATCATCGTCATTACTACAATCATCATCAGATCGAGAATCTTCGGTCTTGAGTTGAATCTCATTGGAACTTACTGAATCGTGTGCATCGGTAGAAGGGGGGGTATTATGATTATTATTATTATTATTATTATTGGGCTCGGTTTTTATTTCTGGTGTGTTTGTATTTATTTTGGTATCTTTCGAGTCATCAGTTTGTTGAGGTGTGGTTGATTTGGATCCCGTGCGCGGTGGTAGGGGTTCTAAGCCTAATTTTCCTCTTAATATGTTAATCTCTTCATGCAGTGAGTCATTTTCACTGCGAATGCTTCGCATCTCTTCATCGTGCTTATCATCTCTTTGACGTGATTTATAAATGAACTCTAAAGATTTTTGCACGATTATTGATTTAGATGGCCTCCGAACTTGAGCTAAGGATGGAAGAGCATGAGCAAGTTCTTGGAATTTGGTATTTAAACATTCGCGTCGAGCTCGTTCAACTGCATTGTGATTGGCACGCCTTTCGGCAGAATTGGTATTCCTATAAATCATATGTCAAATATATTGTAAATAAAATTTCATCTATTATATATCCTTCAAATTCCTTCATATTATTCATATTATTCAATATCCAAAATATTAATTTATAAATAATATCAACATATTATTTTGTATTATTTTATATTATTTTATATATCCAAACATATTCTTTTCAACATATATTCTTTCTAACATATTCTTATTTTATATTTTAAATGACTTACTTCTTTGAGGCGTTAACAGCTAAAAGTATTTAAAAAAAAAAAAGAATAGTTAGGAGATGAACTAAAAAACGTAAGCGCAGTAATATTTTTCCTCAATAATTAATAGAAAATAATTTCTTTTCACACACTTGAGGGAAGCTGAAAGGTGAAATTTGCGCAACCGTTTTGATGATGCGAAGGCATTCGGCTAGTTACGGCGTGTAAAGAAGGAGTTGGTGTAAAGCTGAGAATTGTTCCACCGTTGACACCGTTGACGGTCCCCATTGTTGGCTGATTGTTTATCGATTCAACACATGCAAAAGACGCCGAATGCCTAGGAGGTTTTATGTAAGGGCCGCGAGTAACACAACCAAAGTAAAAAGTAGAAAAAAATTATAATGCCAGAGAAATTTTAAGAAAAAATGAGTCCCTTTTATTAAAGCTAGGAGATTCCCTGATAAGGGGTTCTGTCCTACAATAATAAATTTCATTATAAAAAAATTTCTTTATTAACTTTAGATAGGTGTGTAACTAAAAGAGACGTGACATTTGTTACCATTGATTTTTTGGCTTTGATTTCTACCAAAGTGTTATAGGGGAAATTACGCAGCTTATGGAAATGATAGATGGCTAATTCGTTGTTAAGGTGTTACTATTATAAGAATCCAATATTTGTTACACATCTTAATTATGAATCTATAAATAATTATGTTATTATAAATAATAACCATTTCTAATGATTTTTGAACGAATGAATTGAAACAATATATTTTCATTATTGATTCGGATCAATATTTTGATCGAATGACTAAAATAATGATCTTAAGAATTCGACGAATTCTTTAAATTCCTAAAATTTAATGAATCTTTTAACCAAAAATTAATTAATAGTAAACATATTTAAATACATATATAAAAAAAAAAACTTGAATATATGCTAAAGAAAAAATAAGTTTCTATTTTTATAATAATATTTATATAACAAACCTCTTCCTCTCTCCCAAAATATAAAATATTAAAACATTAAATAATCATAATATTAAGAATATGCCACTTTACTATAAAATGTAAATCTTAATTTTTTTTTTTTGGAACTAAAATGAAATTTGGAGAGAGAGATCTGATTATAATTATTGACATTGACAAAGAGAATATTAAACAAAGAAATATTATAATTATGGTGTTACATTTACACCATGTGTCAACAATATAAAGTTGCACATGATACAAATATATTCTGTACAATTTAAAAATAATCATGCATTAACAAAAATATTAAATATTAATGTAAAGATGTAAAGTGAATAATTTGAAGAATTTTGTAAAAAAAAAAATGGGTATAATGATCAATTCTCCTTGAAAAAATAATGAAATATATATATATATATATATATATATATAAAATATTGAGAAATTTGAAAAATTCATGTTACGTTTCCATAAAATCATCGTCAACGCCACCATTTGATGTTGAACTATTTTTATTATTTTCCTCTTCTTCCAGTTTTTTACCTAGGATTTTAGCTTTCAACTCACTAACATTACTGTTATCATCATCATCTTCGTCAATGTCATTTTCAACTAACTTATGACCTAAACTAAGTGCTTCTTTCATATTATAATGCTTAGCTCTAAGCTCAGCAAATCGACGACGTCGTTTTTCTTTAGCTAAATCGTTTTAAGCATTAATAAGTATTCAATCCAATTTATTCATACAAATGATATCAATATGTAGTAAATAATTTAGTGTATTATCGAAAATAATGTGATAACACTTACTTTCTTCATCCTCATCTGAATGCCCCTCCGATTCCCATTCATCTTTAATCGAATCAGGAAAATGTGCGGAAGAGGGGGATACCGAAGAAAGTGATCCCACCGGAGAAACACTACTAGACCTTAAATTTTTATTTTCCGTACTACTACTAGATTCCAACGTAAGTCCCGGGATAGCTGGAAAAGAGAGACAAGATCAATCTTTAACCACTCTAAAGAACACAATTATAATTTACTTTTTTACATACTCCGAAGATCTGTCATAATTTCATCAGTTTCTTGATTATAATGAATAAATGGTGTTTTAGGCTCAGAAATTTTCATTGTTGAATTCTTCTGACTTTCGGTCAGTTGAATATTGTCTTCGTCCCATTTTAACCTAAAAAATGTGATTCGATGTTTAGAAAATGTATACAATTTGAAATAACTTGAATATTTAATTTATCGATCTCACTTATTTCTTTGCTGAAAGTTTACTGATGGCTTTTTTAAAATTCCTTTTTTTTTTTCTATCGTTTCCATAATCTGACACAAATATTCTGTAATATGAATGGTCTTATAGTGATCATTCCGAGTAGGATTCATGTGACGATTTCGGATTATCGCGGAACAAAAAATAACGATTTTTATCACATGTATTTGATCGATAAAAAAAGCAAAGACTTCGTTTTTGATAGTTCTATGGTTTATTTTTTTATATCAAAAAAATTAACCATAAGTCTATCAAAAATGAAACTTTTGCATCAAAAAAATAAACAACATAAATCAACGCGTCACTACACGTGACAGATATTAAAACATTTTCCATTGGTATTATGGTTAAAAAATGAAGAGAGTGAAGATACTTGTGCTGTCTATCTTGGTAATAAGTACTTCCTTTGGTTTGTATGTATCTTGGAGATGCCATAATTTTACACTGTTCACTCTATGGTAGTGAAGTTATAAGTTAGTTGACAGTCACCTTTGTATCATGCACTTTCCACTTTGCACACAGTTTATTTTATATAAAATAATGAATATATGCCAATTATAATATATTTTGTACAATACTAAATTTTATGTTATTCACTTATATATTCATTTTCTATGACAATTCTGTAACTCCTACTCACATAATTCTTATAGAAGATTTTTATATTTGTCAAATTCTATCAAATGAGAAGATTTATATAATTTTAATATAAAGGTAGATTTCATTAAAACAGTTTGTAATTAAACTTTGTATTTTTGTACTAAATAATAAATTATCTGCAATGTACCAAATTACAATTTATACTATCTATATCAATTAATATATTGTGATCATATTAGATATTGACTACATTCTCAATAGTTAAATAATTTATTTTTTAATTTATACCTGCTTTTCTCATATATTACAATTACAAATAATACAATATATTAGAATAATACAAAAAAAAAATTAACTATTTCTATTATAAAAATTTAATCTTCAAATTTATGAATATACATTGTTCTGTTATAATATATTTTATCAAAGTAAGATTTCTTTTGATTATTTCAAATAGTTTAAGTAATATCTGTTATTGAATTTGATCAAATTCAAAATCAGAAATTAATTTTATTTTTGATGAAAATTTTATAAAGTATATATATTTTAATTATAACAGTGTATTTGAATCAACTTCTAAACTTACAAACTAATGAATATTCTTTCAAACAAATTCTAAAGAATTTATTAACATTATAGAAGGTAGATAATAGTAGATTTTAGCTAAAGTTAATATTGTTTTATTTTTGATATTATATGTTAATATTACTTATAGAGATATTCTAGTATGCTATAAATATAAAACATTTAAATAATGTACTAAAAACATTAATTTTGATATATTATAAATATGAAATATACTAGAACATTACATTCTAGTATATTATAAATATAAAATATTAAAATAATACACTAGAACAATGTATTTAGTATATTATTAATACAAAATATTTAAATAACATACTAGAATGTTATGTTAGTACCATTTGAATAATGCTATAAAATGAAGTTCATATAGTATTGTAGAATGTTTTTATTTAATTTCTGATATATAATAAAGTACTTAAGTTTAATCCAGTAGTTATCAGGGATTTGAGAAGTATAAAAAACTTATAACACTAATAAAAATACTAATTTATTCTATAAGATCATAATAAAGCAAAATTTTGAAAAAAAACAATAATAAAACAAAATTGGGTAAATACAGGAAATTAAAAAAAATATGATAATATTAAAGAAAATTAAAGAGAAATAATTATAATAAATAATAATAATAATAATAAATTTAAGTAAATAACAAATTAAAAAATCTAAAGAAAAGTTTATATAGATTTAATAGATAAATAGATAGTTAGAAAATTTATATAAACTTAATAGATGAATAGATAGTAAGAAAAATAAAGAAAGTGTAGTTCTAGTTAAGTTATATGACAAAATGAATAAAAAAACAAAGAAGTATAATTTATTTTAAGACATTAAAACTTAAGATTATATTATATCAATAATTTAAATAATCTTGAAAATAAAAAAAATTAAAACAATAGAAGATAAAATTATTTTATATTATAAAAATATGTAGAAAAATATAATAAGAAAGAACTTTATTTAAATAAAAAAATATTTATAAGAAAATAAACATCAGAAAATTTTTTTTAGTGAAAACTTTTGAAAGTTAACATTAACATAAGTATTTTGCTATTTTTCGATATGTTATCCTTCAAAGGTTTTTGTTAACCTTTGAAAGTTATCAATTTTGATATTTTCATGTGACAAAATTTTGTGAATATTATCGTTTTCATATTAAATTTATATCAATAACCTTTAAAAATTATCGATTTTGATATTTTCATGTTCAAAATTTTATGAATATTATTATTTTCATAATAATTTTGTATCAATAACCTTCATTTATGTTAAATATTCATAATATATCATTTTGATAGTTATTACTTACATTTATATTGCTACGATTTTTAATTGACATTGTACTATCAATGATATCTTTCGAAGTTTATCATAGCAATTTTAATTGACATTGTATTGTTAACAATATTTTTCAAAATTTATCACAGCAATTTTAATTAACATTGTACTGTTAATGATATCTTTCAAAGTTTATTACAACAATTTTAATTAACATTGCATTGTCAATGATATACCTGCCACCCAAATTCAAAATCCAAATGCCGAAATCCCAAATGCCGAAATCCCAAATCCCAAATCCCAAAT